AATTGTAATACTCAATATATATCGATAACAAAAGATGAATACAAGTCATATTTAACTTCTGCAATTGCAAGAGGTGCTCAAAGTGGTGACCATCAGCATCCAGATACTTCTGATTATGGTGAACTACTGCTTGAGTAATGTTGACCAAAGTGTCCACTTGTATACTTTTTTTGGCACCTCCAGTATATAAATATTTAAAAATGATCAGTTTCATTTCTGATAAGGTACATATAGGTAGACATAAAGAACATAAACAAAAGCTCCGTGGGGGTCCTCCATAATTTTTAAGTGTAATGGAGTCTTGAGACCAAAAAGTTTGAGAGCTATTGCCCTAGGCCCCAGATCAGGTCAGCTGTACTCTGTGAACATGGCTGTTTCTTCAGCAAAAACCTCCTCAGATGTAACAAGTCTTTGTCTCCTCTCTGTCACTCTTGCCACACTGCACCATCTTTCCCTGCCCTGTTCCTGCCTTCTCCTAGTAACTTTCTATATCCACCTACCCCTGTGCCTGCTGCATGACAGACCCTCCCAATCTGCCTTTGTCACCATCCTTACCCTCAGGTCCAGATGTTTGGGCACGTTCAGGCTTTGACTTTTGGGCCCTCGTCATGACCGTTGATATCCTGGTTGAATCGTTCTTCATTTGAGTTGCCTGATTCACCACTTGGAGCTTCTCTTGGGTTCTGTGCCCAGGTGAGGTGGTTCCTAGGCCAAACAGTGATTTGTGAATAGTTTTCACTTGGGTCTGCAGTGGACCTATTAGGACATATTAGTGACCTCCCTTCTCATGCCCCCAGCCCTCACAGCCAGAAATCTTCGTACTCCTATGCCTCACTTTTCCTACTTTTATGTGCACCTTTCCCACTTTTATGTGCACCTTTCTTTTTCCTCCAAACTCAATATCTGGTCTCACTCTTTGTAAAACCCATTGAAATCAGCCAGATAAATCTGGGGAATTCCAGAGCAGTGGGTCTTATTTCCTGGTTCCTGTCTAAACAATGCTTGCTAGAAGGAAGTGGTCCTATCCAAGTAAAAATACCCAGGTGGTTTGCTTCAGCAGAGGAGGGGCCTTCCGAAGTACCTCTCTAGGGTTCCCAGGGCCCATGTGTGGTACGGGGGAGATCCAGGGCCCCCAGGTGCTTTTAGTAGGGAAATTGCAAGGTATCAAGGAATTGAGAGGAAGGGGCCCTTCAATGGAGGATGGAGATGAGACTGAGAGGATTTGCAGTGTAGGGGTAGGGGTAGGATAAGGGTGAGGGTGGAAGATGTAGGGGGAGTGTTCTTTGTCGTTGAAAGAAGAGATCACAATTTTCAAGGGCTGTGGACTATAGAAGCTGACCCAATAGGATGACTATGGTCCAGTGGAGAAAGACTAGCTCTATGGAGACCTGGGAGGAAGCATAGATGGCACAGCCACAGCCCCTCCTGGCAGGTAGACAAATGAGATTTCTGTCTGTCTATCTATCTATCTATCTATCTATCTATCTATCTATCTATCTATCCATCCATCCAACCAAGTGCCACTTCTGGAGGAAGCAGGAGTGGCTAAAAGTTAGAGAGGAGGTGTCAGGACCCACAGGGAGTTCAGTCATGGCAGTTTCTGAATATTTATTCAAAAGAAACTGGGGCAACCTAAAAGAGCACAAAATTTGCCTTTAACTGGCAAGTTTTTTGTTTTTCCTCAATCACAAAAGGAGGGTTTCAGAGAAATGAGGACTGTTACAAAAAAAAAACCAAACAACATTTTTTTGTTGTTGTTTGCATACAAGAGTGTGGTATGTATACTTTCAGTGTGACTAAGTCTGTGTTCTTTTTTTCTCTAAATTTTGTATCTTTTTAACGTTTTTTTTAGCATTTTTAATAAATGTGACTAATTAAATGTAAAATAATATGGCTGTTAGAAATACCCCTGTAAACATTTTCATTTAAATACAATAGGAAGAAAGACAAATCTAGAAGGGCCTGGCATCTCCCATTCCTTTCGGTAGGTTAGCAGAGGGCAATCTCAGCAGGTCAGAGGTGCCCAAGCAGAACAGGCGGACACCAACCCCAGGACTCTGCAGGCGCCTCCTTTCTCATGAGGCCACTGCTGTGACCAGGGAGCACGCACTGTTGCATAGTCACATAAATGTTCCTGTGCCCCATCCTATGAACATGTAGAGCATTTCAGGAGTGGGAGCCTCAGTACTGGGATGCTGGTCACGGGGCATGCAGGCCACCTATGCCTGTCTTAAACTTGGGATAATGAAAATTTGGAGGATTATGCAGGTTCTACTTCTCTGCTGTGGGAGTTCCTACCACAACACTGAGTTT